CGATCACACCGAGGATTCTTCGCTTCTAACAGCACGTGAGAAAAAGACATCCACTCACCCCACCCCACTCCACGCAGCAGAGCGTGTGCGCCGACCAGAAAGGAAACCCACTCAGGCGAGGGTGTTAGGCGCAGTCAGACAGGTTTATTGAGAATTCCACAGGCCCGTCCGCCGCTCGAGGCGACGGGGGTCGTGAGGACGGGGGGGAAATCCAAAGGTAACACGGGTCTGGGTGTCAAGTTTCTGGACACGTCCCATCAGGTCACCCGGGCAGATAACCGGAGGAGGCCTGTGGTTTCCATCGTCTTCTCCGGGGTTCTGGGCGAGGTCTGAAGGGCAGGGACCGGTCAGCGGACGAGCGGCGGGGGCCGGAGCGGGTGGGGTGGCTCTGAGCCCGGGGCCGGGCCCTCAGTACAGGGCATAGGGCCAGTACCTCCGGTAGCTGAGGCACCCGCCGTAGCCGTAGCCACAGCCGTAGCCCACGGGGGAGTAGGTGCTGCCAAAGCCACAGCCCACGCTGTAGCCCAGGGGGTAGCCGTAGCTGCCCCAGTAGCAGCCGGGGAAGACGGTGCCGGAGAAGTTGCCGCAGTTCATGCTGTCGGAGCGGAGGGTGCAGGGGAGGCCTGTGCTGGGTGTGCTGGCTCCCGGCCTCCCCGCTTCCCTTATATACGGGGGCGGAGGGGCGTGGCCCACAGCACAAGGCCTTCATTTTCATTCTTGACATCAATTTGCATCCCCAAAAAAGCTCATTAACTTGTTTTACTCTTGCCTAAGAAGTCTTTACAGTTGCTAAGTAAGCTCTCTGGGTAGGATTCCTTCCAACACGGTGTGTCCCTTCCCTAAAAAAGGCAGGGCGGGGACTTCAAAGCCCTGGGACGTGGAGACCGGACCGAGGCACGAACCTGTGCGGGGACCGCGGTGCCCCGTGATCAGGCTGCGAAACACCCAGAAACGGCCTGAGGTCGAACGGCTGCTCCGCCCGCTTGCTCCCTGAATGTCCACAGGGCCATGCAGATGGGATTCCATTAGTACGTGCGGAATAAATTCATGAATGCAATCGTAAATACTCAGTGAGGCCGCCCCAGAATCGAGGTATTAGGGTTACTGGATTAGAGAATTCTCTTTGGGGCAGCAAGACCAATGCAATGGGGCTCATTGGAAAGGCTTTTTTATTTTGTGTCTGCTTGTAGTCACCCTGTTGAAAAAACTGGTTAAACATTTTACCTGAATTATAGGCCTCCCTTGAATTATCTCTAACATCACATTTCTAGACCACGGCCCGGAGACCACTGCCCGGACTACTAATCTTATAATTGTAAAAAAAAAGAAGAAAAAAAAAAGAAATTAAAAAAAGGAATTTGTGAACTGATCCTAGAAACGAATTGTCGAACAACTATGATTTGTTGGTCTGATACACTTTTTGACGTAAATGTTGAAAATAATAACATAAAAAACAGAAAATCGAATGGGGAATTTTACCCTAAAATGTACATGTTTTTTCCTATGAGGCCAAAAAAACTAGATCATCTGTCAAATCTGATGATCTCGCAAAGGGCCAGGTAACAATATTAAATCAACATTATTTTACGCTTAGAATGACCACACGGCCCCAGAGAGGGAACGAAGGTCATTCCTCTCTAAACAGAAATGAATTCTCAAGTGTGACGTAAAGGGCCAGCGAGACTGATCGAAACTCACCTGGGCCGCGCGAGACCCAGTAAATGACCCTCAGACACCCGCAGCGAGGTCCCTGGCGTGGCCTTAGCCAGGAACTTTCAGAAAACACGACAGAGGAGGCAGAGAGAGGTGGGTGCGCAGCTCTCAGGCGTCGCTTAGGGGGTGCAGAACGGCCGTGTTTACACGCTAGCCCCCCGCCTTGACCTCCGGCCTCGGAGGTGACTTTCCCGCCTGTTACAGCGGCTAAGACGTGAATTTCTGGGAGCACCCAGAGGTCCCAGGTTCAGTCCCAGGACAAGGTGAGACGCCCGAAAAGTACAAAATGATGGCGGCATTGTGACCACTAACAGCTTAATTACGGCGGAGGCAGCTCTGAGGACACACAGGGCTGCCCAGCACCCTCCCTGCCCACAAAGCTGTGTGGCCGCCGGGTGACTCGGCATCTAAACCCCGACGCTCCCTGGGACTTCCAGCCGAGTCACGCGGGTTCAAACAGGCTCCGCCCCTGAAGCACAAAAAATCCAACAGCGGGTGGGCCCTGAAAACCGAGGAATGCTTGACGTCGTGTTTCTACTGTCCTCACATTGCCCTGCCTCACAGAGAAAAACGCTGATAACGTCGGCACAAGAAAATAATTAAACAAAAATAACACTGCCCGAGATAAAGAAAAGAGATTTGAGCGGATGCCCAAGTGCAATTACGAGGCTCGTCTGCACGAGCTTCTCCCACCTGCCCACAGCCCGGGAGCCTCGCCTTGGCCCCGGGGCGACAAGCCCAGCTCTGCGTCTGAGCAGTAACCGCGATTAAACATTAAAATATAACGTCTTTTAAAAACTGAAACGCCACTTACAGTTCTGAGTTTTGTCTAGAAATTCTACAGGAGGTCCTAACAGAGGAATATTTAAGGGGAAAACATTATTTATCAACCAGTCATTAAAAATATAATTAGTAGATGCCCGGCTGACGGCCGGGCGGTGGAGCATCGACCTAGGATCCAGGGGATCGGGGTTCGATTCCCGGTCGGGGTGCAGGCCCGGGTTGCGGGCTCGATCCCCAGTCANTTATCAACCAGTCATTAAAAATATAATTAGTAGATGCCCAGCTGACGGCCGGGCGGTGGAGCATCGACCTAGGATCCAGGGGATCGGGGTTCGATTCCCGGTCGGGGTGCAGGCCCGGGTTGCGGGCTCGATCCCCAGTCAGGGGCCTGCAGGAGGCGGCCGATGGACGTTTCTCTCTCCTCGATGTTTCTCTCTCTCTCTCTCTCCCTTCCCCTCTCTCTAAAAGAAAGTCAATTAAAAAAAAAAGAAACATATTCACAGGTTTCAGGGGTTCAGAGTGAGCAACTCTGGGGGCTCCCCTCATCCAGCCTGACACCCACCTAATTCCAGCCACCGATTTATGGGCCTCAAAACTAACCCGGTGACATTTCCCTGCGCACAGCCTGCTTCCCCAGCCCCAGTGTTCACAGAACCCACCGGGGACACAGACACAGACTCAGTAGCTCCCCATGGCTTGTAGGGGAAAAATTTATTTTTTTTTTAAATATGTCTTTATTGATTGCAGAGAGAGGGAAGGAGAGGGAGAGAGAGACAGAAACATCAATGATGAGAGAGTCGTTGGTTGAGCCTGCAACCCGGGCATGTGCCCTGACCGCAAATCGAACCCCGATCGCCTGGACCCCAGGTCAACGCTCAACCGCTGAGCCACGCCCGGCCGGGCCGGGAAAATATTTTTTAATCTTTAAACTGAACTAAAAGCCCCCGACTCACTCTGCTGAAGCTCCGCTGACGGACTTTCAGCTGCTTCTCGCCCTGAAGCCTGAGGCTCGCCCTGTGTCCACCTGGAATTTTCTTTTCTCATCGGCTCCTCCTGGGGGCTGACAACCTTCAGAGACCAGCTCGGTCCGTCCCCTGGGAGGCCCTCCTGCCCCCCCACCGGCTCAGGCCCACCTGGTGTGACCGGGACCCATCGCTCGGGGTCGCCCTTCGTCCCACCTCGTCTGTGTGGCCGATCCCGCCTCCTGACTCGCCCGCGTCGGGAGCGAAACAGCGAAGCCTCCATGCCGGGCTCCCCGCTGAGCGTAACATAGACCTTCAATCACGATCAATCGGATGAATAAGTGGATGAATGAAAACTGTAAACCTCGCTTGGCCACTCGCTTATGTGAGGATTTAAGGAAATCGCTTTTCTGGCCCCAAGTCATTCAACTGTAAAATAAAGTCAATTGGCTTCCTGGGACTCGCCGGCTTAACCGTCTGTGAGCCGAGCCTCAGAATCGCTGATGAGCCGAGATTACGATCCCGCCCTCCCTCCGTCC